AAAACTTCCTATTTCAATTATTGTGGGTTTTCCTATTAGGATGTACACATGAGTCATGAGTTAAGTGCTGGAAATGCTCAACTCGTCGTTGAGAATGAAATGAAATCTTGCCCTTGCCTAAGCTTTTCGAAATTCACTAAGTAGCAATTAGTGCGAGCAACATCTATCGAACACGAGAAATGAAAGGGGCACATTCGAAACATTGATAAAATTTAGAAGAAACACGTTCAAAACAAAGTAAAGGATATGCGATGGAATTATGAATCGTACCGCTTCATTCTATGTTTCCCATTGGATCGCCTTCGTTCAATAAACCCGTTGAGACTGTTCAATTTTCGTTCATAGTTCTCCAGTAAGCGATTGGTGATTGCTGTCGCTGATACGGTAGAGAGACCAACCAGGATTAGATGGAAGACCATCAACTTCATCTGGAATTTTTTTGATTGGAAAAAGTTCTATAACTGTGATTTTAGCGTTTTTCTCGAAATGTGACAGCCAGTTAACAATGAGATAGAGGCATTTACTCAGAAAAAATGAAAGGAGAAGTGGAAGACCTTCATAATCATAAAGTGAGAACCAGACCCAGAGAAACTAAAAGTCCATTGAAGCATTTACCTTGGAGCTGCAACAAGAATCACACTAGTTCATTAGTCAGAAATATACTGAGGACAAAAGGATGAAGGATGAAGTCTCCGTAGTTGATCAAGAGGTTTTTTGGATGCAGGGCGCATTCTATTTCCATCCAGAAACGTGGTGCCTTATGATCAATAATCCAGGGAAGGATGCCATGATTATGGATTTAATATTGCAATTTCAATGATTTTTTATAGTTCCGGAAGATCACACGAGAAGACCGCGAGGCAAAGCAAATGTCCTTGGAGCATGAAAAAATTCAGCTATAGGAGAGAACAGTCTAAAAACGGCAATAATCCAGCAGCTAAGCGGTTTTCCAATAAAGGGATTCCTGGTTCTCAGCGAAATGAGAATGAACTCTATTAGTGGCCATTTCCTGCAGTTGACACTTTCTCACAGAAAAAAACTAGTCTGCGACATGAAACGGTCAAAACAGATGGGTCGGGAAGGGGGTAGCCTTTTCACTGACATTGAGCTGGTCCCCCTTCGTGAGGGACAAGAAAAGAAAGAAATCATCTGATCAGTAGAATAGGCTGAAACCTAACTGGCCGTAATACAGTTCATATCCTGCTGTAGGGAAAACTCGTGCAAAATTCCCCTGAAAATTTCCTCCTTTGCTGCGACTCCCACCCCCTCCTACCTATCATCTTAACTGGCTGCCAAAAATTCCCCTATAAAATTTCTCCTTGCACTCGCGCGCCAGCTTTCCTCCCCCGCTCTACCTATATCTTGCTTGAAGACAGAGGTGGCCACGGATCAGAACTCCCTCCAAGATGTAGAGTTCGTGTGTACGCCTACATTAGGGATCAGATTCTCGGTCGGCTTTGAACCAGGCACTCGTGTGTCCTTTTTCCGAAGGAAGGTAACGCCTGATACACGCCTCGAGCTGTAACATACCGGACCCAAGACGCCTCCCGGCGCGTGCCTCCTCGCAGAATGGGCCGATGGCACCCGTCGCTGCTGGATGACCGCTGACTTGCTCCTATCGGTTATTTGCGAAGTAAAACATGAAACGAAGGGATTGATATAAAGTGGCTGCAGTACTGTATGGATGTATGAGTAGCTGTATCTACCGTAGCTGTTATTGATGGGATGCCAATGGGAAACTCGTCCAAAAATTCTTCCTGAGCCGTGTAGGATAAAGGCTTTTTTCGAAGGTATTTGACCGTTGCACTCTGCTTTTTCGCCATTTTCCCCACTATATGGCAACCCTGCTAATATTTTAGACAGAGTAGCGAATTATCGTGCCAACTGCCAACTGAACAGGCAAATCTTAGTAAATATGAGAACTTTGCCGGAGAGAAGTATGATTCACTCCAGGGACCAGAGCACTTCATATTATGAGAACCTCTTTCAGTAACATATATTATAAATATATTGCCAGAAAGAGCAGGAGGTGAGTGACAAGTGGCGCGCTCACCACTCGCGCGGTCCTGGGTTCAAATCCCGGGTCGACTCCCGCCCAGGCCAACCAAGCCTTCTACCCTCCGGGGACGGTAAATTGGTACCAGATTCGTCTGGGAAGATAATAACATACTATAACGCCTATACTATAACGTTACTATAACGATTCTGAATGGAAGTAGAATGCGTGCCGCATCCCACAAAGGGATTGATCAACGGCGAAAACTTCATCCTTTATCCTTTATTGCTAGAAATGCTTTCGATTTTGTGAATCATTCCCCCTTGCGTTTATTTTCATGTAACAACTGAAGGACTACAGATTTTCTACTGCTTCTCATGTAGTGGTAACGGCCGACGCCAGAACTTTGCGTCCTGTCATGCATTTCTACCCGGTTTTATATGCTCACCTGTTGAATACTAGGTGATATCAGTCGAAAATGTAGGCATATTCCCTCGGATGAAAAAGGACTCCATAGAATACTGGAGAAATCGTGTGAGGTACATACTCTCCCATGCAGTACAATTTAACGATTTCGAAAGTGCTTTTCGCGGCCAGCCATAGCGTGCGGATATGAAAGAAAAGGTGGAGATTACTATTTAACGACAGGAAGTGTTAACAGAACGGTTGGAAAGGCTTGCAAGGCTCCCACTCTTTTCTGATTTCTGGATAAGTGTACAGCAGTGAGGCAGTGAGCCGCGAAACAGAGATCGACGACGAAATAGAGAGGTTTAGAACGAGTCTTCCTAAACACGTCGCCCACGTGGGAATCAAAGACTGGCATGGGCATGTTGTCCACGGACCCAATTTATGA